ACAAATGGACAGGATGTGGCATCACAGCAGCGTTGGGGCAAGGGGGCCTGGCACAAAATACACTAAGTCTGTGATTGTTTTTTATTGCCACGTGTGTGGTCTTTTAGGCATTCAAAATCGTCATAACAATTTCTAATCCTCTTAACTGAGCAGTGTGTTCCAGCCTGTTCCTTGCCTTATATTTCATGTCCTTCAACTGCAGAGCACCTACAACATCAGTGTTGGACGACGTGCAGAGCAGCACCTATATTAATTTTAAATTCCTTCCATGGGAACCCAGCCTTAGTGGTGATAACATTGGCTTATTGACTCTTGGTGGGTTTCCTTATTTTTATTGGGTGAGCGTGAAGTTTTCTCACATCCATAGATTCAGTATCTTTTGTTTCCTTTGTGCTTTTAGCACAGATTTGAGCAGAGAATGTTGTCAATGATGAAATGGTCTGTATGATTTTATCCAATGGCATTAGGTTTGATCAGTCTGTATGTCTGCTGTTAGCAACTCTGTACGCAATAACATATCCCTCCACTAAATGGATGTTAATACAGTTTGATAGGAGAGAAGACCAATCACAAGTAGGCTTCAGGGAAGCTCAACGGCCTTTTACCATCAAGAACATTTTACCTCTCCTCTAAAGCCCTTGACCTACACTGCATTACTGCCAACCCCCATGACACCTGGAAGAAGATCCTCTTTACTCACTGCAACTACTGGTCCTGTCCATGCGCCAGGTCTCTATCTATATCAACATCTCTCAGTGGGCAGCTGGGCCCCAGAGCGGGACCTTGCCTTACCATTAAGATCAATTACCTAACCTTGATTTAATGGAGCCCCTGTCTCCATTACTTATCCCAGCACAGGGAGCCTTTCAATCATCCCTACGTCCAGCCTCCTTGAGATCCCGATGTCTTTGAGTGATTCTCTTATCAGACCTTTGTGTTACAGAATACAACACCAGGCAAAGCAGGCTCAACAGTTAATAATAGATGAGCCCAAGACCATTAAAAGCATTAACGTGAGAGGAATTCACAATATGACAGATAATATTTTGGGTCCAATGAGGGCCGTGGTCATTTGCGAGAGTGCCTATGACTTCATGCCAGCATCAACCTTGAACATGTAAATCTGAAATAAAGTGCCAGGTTGTTTCTGTCCATTCTGGATCAATTTTCTGCCCTAAACCTCGCACTTGGCGTTGTGGTTTTTAATTATTTGGGGAGGTTTGATCATGTTTAAGCTAGTTTTTCATTGTGGGTGCAGAAGGAGCGTTGTTTACCCTGCTGGAGTGCAGAGACGAGCCAAACCCCTCCCCTGCAAATTCAGGAAACCAGTATGGAGAGCTGCAGCAGCAAACCTGGTATCCCAATGACTGGAAACCTTATTCTATTATTGCTGCTACATGTACACACTAGATGTCGCTTTGGTGTTCATGTTCACTTTTCCATTATTCAGTATTAAGTACTGTTGTGATTGAAGAGCTTTTTAAGAAACAACATGTTGTGTCAAATTTTGATTAAAAACACAAAATCTGACAATTGATGAAAATTAATGCACATGAAGTAATCATGACCCATGGAGATATTGTATCGAATTGAATCATTGACATGATGATCGTATTTGAATCGAATCGTGAGATTAGTGAAGATTCACACCTCTACAGCTTATGTATATACAAATGTAGAATTTCATGCCTATAGGAATATTTTGAATAGACGTTGGTGAGAAATGTAAATGAAAAAGGACAAGTTTGTGAACGGACTCAGACTTTGACAAGTAAACAAGTAAAAGAATTATACACTGTGCCTTTAAGGGCTACCAGTACTCAGGTTTTATGGGTAGTCTAGCTTTTTAGTTGTTATCTTAAGGTTTCCTGCAGCTGAGTTTACAGTGAGGTTTTCCTCAGAGGCCTCAACAGCCTCATGGGTCGTGATGGAGTTACCTAAAGTGATTCCCTGCACATTTATCGGAGAGTGGCTGTTTGGATCATCGCCCACCTTTCAGAAAGCATCCCCACCATCCTCCTGAGATGATAAAACCAGCTCTTTCTATTAATCATGCAGTAGACTATCCCCACACAGTGTAAAGATTCAATTGCAAAGTAAATGGATTAGAGGAAAGTGAATTGCTGTATTGAAGTATGGAGTGAGACAGGAAATGGGAGTAGGTAGACATGTTGGAGGAACAGAGCTGTCTGAAGGAGCCAATAGCAGCCAGGGGGAGATCATAACAAGCAGATTCAGTGCATCACAGGAAGGTTTTGTTTCAGCAGAAGTGAAATGTTCATGTCAGCAGATTAACAGCTGCATGACCTTTATCTGTGTGTGTTCTTTGTGTCTCGGTGTCACAGACACACTCCGAGATGGTATTTCTGTCTGAGTCTTTATGAAAACAAAGCTTCAGTTTGTATGTAGTTCATTGTTTCATTTGTCATGTATAGGAGGACTCAAAACTAGGAATGCTCCAATCAGGTGTTTCATTGCTGATCCCTGATATTGATAGCGCTGAGGGGGAGGGTGCAACAGTTTCGCTGCCGTGCTTCTCCTGTGGGGGTGGGGTGGGAGTGATTTCGTAGCCGTGGCGCAGTGCCACGCCTGAGCCTAGGTAGGGGAAATGCTGTGCTTTGTTTGCTCCCGGTGTGTTTACATCTTACATTACATCTCAAATGGAACAATAAACAGATCGTGAACGCGCAGATTTAGCTTTATACGTTCTTACTGTACCTTGGAGAACATTTGTCTTTGTAAGTATCGAGTTGTTTAGAGAATGTTTAGGCGTGTGTTAAAATTACATAGTTGATCAAATGTTAGCAGTGTGAGCATACACATGCTATGCTAAGCTAGGCTAATTGCCAAGCGTGATGCTAGGACACGTGCAATAGTCAGTAATGTATTTTTTTCTGTTTCTGTACATTGTAGTTATGATTAGGGGTGTAACGGTAGGCCTAAATCGTATTCGGTTCAGTGTTTTGAAGACCTCGGTTTGAATAATTTTCGGTATATTATGGACATCAGATTCTGACTACACAGGGCAAACTCCTAGCTTTTCACAAGTTGTGCCAAATAAAACATATCTCAAAAGATAAACCTCAGATCTGTCGTATTTTTGCATTTTGAGAGAGAGGGGATGAAGACAAAGAGTTAGATGGGTAATATGTGCATTGTATGTAAAAGTTGGGTCTCTAAGAGGTAAAATCCAATATCGATATTTTCCACTATTACATTTTAAGGCCAATATCGGCCAATAATATCGATAGACCAATAATATCGCACATTCCTAGATATGACCAATTAAAAACAAACCCTGCTCCGTTAAATGCAGCAACTGGGACAAAACATGGAGCCAGTTGACATGGAGAAATAGATTTACACTAAGAGATATTGCCTACGGACTGCAAACATGTGAAGGGTTTTGTATTCTGGAGCCGTGGAATGAGCTGCTTTCTTGTCCCAACTTGTCAGATGCATCTGTACTGGTGTTTTGCAGAAAGGATTTAACCTGCTGGCCAACACATGTCATAGGTCTGGGCTATATGGCCTCAAATCAATAACACAATAAATTGAGCAGGTCACCTTGATTAATGAACGATTAGTACCCATAAAATAACAGTTAGAGGGTGAAGTAGTGGTGGTGGTAGATTTGGTTTAGTTTGCCCCAAAAATCCTTCAACAACCACTTCATCCAACTGCTTCCAGAAAAGATGAGCTGAAGAGCTTCAGATTTATTACTAGTTGAATATTTAATTGGCATAATAAATAATTTAGGTGGGTGTGATGTAGTGGTGGCTGGAGGAACCGGATAAGTGGAGTATTACTGCTTTCATGTCCAACGTGTTTGTTTCTCTCTAATCTTGTATGAAAGGACATGGGCATATGGTACCAGGACACACTTACCACTGATGGGTTTGATCAGGAGAGATGAGAACCTGGAAGAGCTCTTTTTATTGTGACAGTGAACAAACGACAGAGAAAAGAGAAATTATGTTCAGCTCATTTGAGTGAATGATTGTGGCTTGATTTATTTCAAGGGTGATAAAGGTGGTTGTTTAAAGAACGAGATTATTTATCCAGCATGTATCCAGCTGAGTGAGCATGCTGGAGTCCATCTTTAATTTGTTTTTCATGATCCAGTTACAGTCAATTAGATGTTTCCAATAACCAGAGCTGAGAAATGGACCAGTCTGCTTTAATCAAGCCATTTAGGAGCATGCTGGTCCCAGAAAGCTAACGCTGTTTCTTACCAGCACAGATGATGCAGAAAGATGTGGTTGTCAACACTTACACAAACAGTTATGGTATAGTTCAAGGCTCAGCTGGATCTGTGTGCTTTTAGTTATAATGTAGTAAACTAGTTATCAGTGCAAACTAATGGGGATATTTTCCATCGTTAATCTGAGCCACTTTTTTCTGTAGAGCTGAACGACTTTAGGAAAAGATGTAATTGTGATTTTTCTGTGATTAGATTAGTTTTCAAATCAGCTTTCAGCGCAATAATCATGTTTTACAGTAACATTTACAAGCATAACAGAAAAGGACATCATACCATCAAGACATTAAAAGCTATTACTCTAATGCAATGCTCCTCAATTAGTAGGGCCACCTGTGCATGTCTTCCTGAGTTTCTTTATTATTTCAGCTTTCCTCTGCAGATTAAATTAATTGACCAGAGATGAATCGGAAACTAAGAAAGTCTCTTTAAGTCTATTTCCCCTCCTCTCTTCAATTCACCATTGCACCCATGTTTATGTTCATAGCAACATGACATCACTGCTTTATAACTGGATAGCTGAAACCAGCACGACGGTTACAGATTGGGATTAACATGGTACAGCTCTACTTCCTATTAACATTCGTATTTTTGCCTGATACAAGTTCCAGTTCATGATTATCACGGGCTAAAGTAGTTTGCCCTGAAAAGACCCACTAAAGATTTAAACCTGTGATGACCTGTCAGAAACACTCTAACTGACCAGATATGAAACCAGCTGATTTCTGTTTGCTGTCAGGGTGGAGAGGTCCACGGACCAGGTCATCAAGCCGGTGAATGTGGAGGCCTTGTCCAAGTGGGTGGGAAAGATCCCGGCTGATGTGGTGAGAGACATGGCTGTCATCGCTCCCATGCTTTCCCGGCTGGGCTACGATCCACATGCCAACCCCCCCAACTATGGTCAGCCTGATGCCAAAGTTCTGGACAACACCAGGAGGGTAAGTGTTGAGCAAACATGTTTTTTTAAAAAAAATGGGTTTGAGGCTCTAGAGACATAGGTAATGCTCCAGTAGAACATATTTCATTTGCAATATGTGTTAAAAATAAACAGATTTAATGAAATAAACTTTAAAAATAAAGAATTAGGACAAAAAGTAACAGGTTTTCTAATCTAAACTTCAAACTGTTTGCACCACTCATTTTATATATTTATTATAAGACGACTGGTAGTGGTCTAAGCCAGTGTGGGCTGGATTTAATGAAAACACGTTTTCACTGCTGCAGTAAGGAGGTATGGTATTTGTTTAGGTCTGTGATAGGGATGCAGCACAGGATTGTGGGAGGAAGGAATGGAGGTGGTGTGGTGGCTTTGTGGTTCTTGTCCAAATTGTAATAATAATAATAATATATATATAGATATATAAATATTGATGAATATCATAATTGGCCATAACAGTATTATTAATATTGGATCTCAATATTAGCTCAAATTATTATATTGGTGTATCCCTAATAATGTTGATAGAAGCAGAATCAAAAATAAAAATGAAATGAAAACACAGTGGACAGGACCATGAATCTGCTTTTGTTCCACCTGTATTTCTGCAGCTAATCTAATTGGGATGCAGCGTGTTGTTCTTGGGAGAAACTTAAAATTTGTTCCCGTCTCTGAATCACTTGGCCGCCTGCAGTGTTTAGTGAGCAATCTCTGGTGGGAAGGATGACGATTCAGACTAAACCACAGAGCTTTTAATTAATGGCTGGCCTGCTCCTAACATTGTTAACTCTGTTCTTATCGCTGATGTGAAATATCCTCATGTCTGTGCTGTCTTTAGAGCAGAACCTTTTCTCACATTTAAACTGAGTTTGCTGTTAGATGCTCTGCAGCCATGCTGCCTGTGTTGCTTCCTGAAGGTCTGTTTTCGTTGGACCTCTTGTGAATTGTACTTGCTGACATTTTTAGGTCTCCCTGCTGTTTGAATGACCAGTACTAGTGTTATTGCATTTAGCAGAGAAAAAGATCAACAAACGGAGAAGACTTGGATGAAGTTGATTTGAGTAATTTTGCATTGATGATATGTGGAGAAACAGTGGCATGTTCCTTTAAGCCTGCTTCACAGCTGTGTTTGTACTTTACTGGTAAAACGGAATGACTGCCTGTGCCTGCTACAGTCTGTTTTCCCAGTTTAACCTTTTCCCCATAAGATCCCAGTCCAAACATATCTGGCTGGTCTGTTGCTCCCATGCACAGAGCCCAGAATTATTTCCAGATATTTGGATTAAGTCCTGAAATGTCTCATCGGTTTAGCCATGGAGGTTGTTCATTTGTGGCTCAGGGCTGGGCTAGATTTAGATTTAAGTTGGCCTGAGCTAAACATGGATTTTTTTTATTCTTTTCAGAGATTTGTCGTTACTTCAGTGGATCTGCTTTTCTAATCTTCATTGTAGATGCAGATTATCATGCTTACAGGTAAAAAATTGGAATTAGTAAGTTATTTCCCAGTTAAGGCTGGGCGATAAAACCGTAGCAGTTTGTATTTTTACATCAAGTTTCCTCAATGGACATTTGAGAATGGGTCAACAAAACTTCGATATAAAGCACAACTACATGGCTCAGAAGCAGGCAGATGGACGTTCTGCTAATGGCTGATGCTTGTGTAGCTTTCGCCTGCTGCAGGTAACGGGTTATATGCCTGGTAAAACATAAAAAAGAGCACTCCCAACAGAAAAAAACAGACTGAGGTAGTGATGTGCGATACCACAGATTTCCTTTACGATCCAATACCAAGTAAAATTTGGTCCAGTATTGGTGAGACCAATAAGATCCAATACCAATATTTGCTCAAAGATTTTTGTTTGAAAATTTTTAAATATAAAGTAATATATTTAGTTTATAACTTTGTACAGATGACTCTCTGAGTTTGTTTCTGCCTGGACATTTATATTTTTGGTCAGATACCCTCAAGAATAGCTGAAAACCTCCACTATAGACAGAGGCTGGAGGTCCTTTACTATCATCTCTTGAGTGTTTTTGCTTTTTGAGAATCATCTACATATAATATATATACACAGGGATCATAAAAGGATGGTATTGCCCATTATTACAAGCTTAATCTTATTTAGACTCAACAAGTAACACTAAGGAGAAAGGAAATCGGAGTTTACACACTCCTGCTGTTTTATATAGAATGCTGTGACTCAAATTAATATATTGCCTATAAAATACATATTTAAATACATTTGATTATACCTACATTGTGAAATATTCAATGATTTATTTTTTAAACGAAAACTTTTTCTAAGTTAAATCTGACATTACTTAGTTCATCTGCACCAGACTCAACCAGTTCTGTCAATAGGCAGAGTTCATGCTGTCCTTTACAGTCAGGAGGTCTTCTGTGTTTCAAACCTGTCATAAAGACACTCTTACTGCTGACATAACATGTACACCAGCAGAGAAACACAAAGTGAGATTGTGCTCTCTCAGTGAAACCTGCAAACCCACAGAAGGGAAGCAGTATACCAGAACAGACATGTGTTACATTATGCTTATTTTCCCAGTGAAACCATTAGATATGCATAAAGTATTGGTTTTCTGCTGCACGTGACCCAGTAAAGTCTTGGTTTCTGTTTTTCAGTCCTTTGTGGAAAAGAGAAGAGGGTCATGTTGTTGAAGTTGGTGAGCAATGAGCATGTCCTTGGCATCTGAATTGCCTTTCCATTTATTTGAGGGGAATCCAAAAGGGATGGGAACAAGAATGCAAAGAAAAACTCCACTCTGTGACTTGAATGGAAAAACTTTGGCACATATAAAAGAAATAAGAGGCCTTTTTCCACTTTCGTTACTGGAAATTGCCTGACCACAGACAGACATGGAAAGAGTAAAGATGGCATGACACCGCCTGAGTTACACTTGGAAATCAGGCATAAACCTCTTAAGGGACTTTTTTTAGCTGAAGATAAATGACTTAAAATCTCAAACTGTTCTAACTAAAAGTAAATCAAGTTGAGGAGTTTTCGGACATCAGCTGATGTTGGCAGGTTAGCTCTCATTCTAAAGTAAAAGTCCCATTGTAACCACTGGTGGGTGAAATTTGCTCTCCGCATTTGACCCATCTCCCGGGAAGCAGTGAGCTGCAGACACGGCCATGCTCGGGAACCATTTGGTGGTTTAACCTTCCAATCGAACCCCATAATATTGAGTGTAAAGCGGGGGAGGCATTGGGTCCCATTTTTAAAGTCTTTGGTATGATCCAACCGTGAATGTGAACCCACGATTTCCCAGTCTCAGGCGAACACTCGTACCACTAGATCACAGAGTTTGTCCGCTGGACAGTCTCGTAGTCTCGTGTTGTGACTTCGATGTAATGGTCTGGGTCGTTTGTAGTAGGTCTGCACAACATATCGAAAAATTATCGTCATCGCGATAACAGGACGTGCGATAGGCCCATCGCAAAGCACATCAAAAACGGCGATAAATGTTTGGTTCAAACATTTCCATCCGTGTCATACATCAACTTTTTGTAAACCAGCTCTGTTTTTTACGTGGAAGTATTATTTGACCAATCAAATGTAGCCCTTCTGATATGCGGCCAATCAGATGGGTCCGTTCACGTAATACGCCCGCCCCCTACGTAGACCCTTACCCCAAAATTCCACTATCTCCGTTCCGGCCCCGCTTTCCGCTGCCGCTCGCTTCCCTTGTTCGTCGTGCTGGCTCAGATTAACGAACGCACTATGTGCTGAGGTTTCTGGAATCAGCGCTGCTTTCAAACATGAACATGAGTCAGCTCGGTGTCGTTAAGCAGCTGATAGTAACCGGGCTGACTCCGACGCGTGCCGGTGAACCAACCCACCTACCTCCATGTTGCTAGTGTTCCACCGGGTGGTGACGTTAGCCCCAGGCTCCGGTTAGCTTCCAGCTAAAAGGCTACAGCACTCTCCTCCCAGTCCCACCCTGCTAAAGAGGGCCTGGAAAAGTTCCCCCACACATCAAAGTGATTTTTCATTCATGAGCTTTTATAACCTTGTTAATCAGGATAGTTGATTTGCTGCTGCACATAAACTGTCAGTCAGAAGCTCTGCTAGCCGGTTATCTTAAGAAGAGCTTGTTCAATTTGTTAGCTTGTTATCAGAATCATAGTTGCAGTTTCATCATCTGAGCTGCTTTTTAAGATCTAGGTAAACTTGTTCAATTTGGGGTTAAAAACAAACGTTTTCACATATTTTCCATGTAGTTTTTTTTTTTGCCAGTTCCTCTTCTGAAAGGTAGACAATTGTTTTTCTCTTTCCCTCAGAAAACCTTAATATTCTCCTAGTTTGGCCCAGCACAGTTCACTTCCCAATTACAGCAACAGCCTTATATCATAACCACATAAGTGGAGAAAATGCTCAGTAGCAATGAGAGAATTTGCTGTTGCATTTAAGTGATGTTAACTATTATTTAACATTTAAACTTATTTTCTGATATTTTTATTTATTCAGAAAACCCTGGTAAGGGGTGTTTTCTGTATTTGGAGCATCAGAAAAAGTTTTATGGTGGAGGTGATGTTTTAAAGTCACTGAGAAACTGCATGCATGCAGTTTGTTGTTTTGCTGCTAATACAGTAGCAGGTGCAGCTGCATATTTTTGCAATAAAAATGTTATGTTGTAATTAGGGCTGTCGCGGTTGAGGAATTCCCCCTGCGGTGATTCAGGGTGGCTTAATATTGCGGTATGCGATATTATTGCAGTCCTTTTTTTTATTGCAGTACTATCTAAACATAATGTTTACACATTTAAAAAAGGTTAAAAATTGCCGTGCCTTCTTTTATAACGCTTTACTGAATGCAGATCAAAGGGCAGTAACAACACAGATCGCAGTAACGTTTGTTTGTCCGACAGTTGGAGCCCGACTGAACTTAAAAACAACAAAATTCAGGAGAAGGTTAAACTTTTAAATGCAAATTTGGCTGCAGCATCTAACAAATAAGAAACAAGTCCCCATTTTGTTTAGTT